AGGTCTGGTTTTGGTTCCTGTTCGTCGCTGATCTTTAAGTTACATAGTGTAAGGGTTTTCATCAAGGGGAAGTTGACCTTTTGCTTGGATGGCAATACGCGCGAGAGGCCTGGCCAGCAAAGAGCCTGCTTCCACACCTGGGAGCTTAGATACATAACTTTGCTAGACACTAAAAATGATGCACTGAACAGACACACTGAATTTATGTCTTATTAAAGAAACTGTAAACTACAATGGCTTTGTACACTTTCGCTTTTAAGCGACATAGTTGTGTCACTACAGCCATGTTGCTAAAAATTGAGCAGTGTGTCTACTGTTTCTCATATCTTTTGCTGACAAAATGCTTTCAACCCAACAAGGCATAAAAGCACAATTTGCACCGGCACTTGTTGGCAAAACTTTTGACTTTCACAGGGCTGGCATTTTAATACCTCTGAACAACAAAACTTTTGTTGTTCAGTTGCCAGTGTAGACATAAGCTGCATCTACACTTGAAGCATTAAAGCACTACCCATACCAAGAGAAGCATCTGGATATTTTATATCAGAAAATATGACCAATATTTACTGGCCTTCCTCTGCATTCCGCAGCCCACAAAGAGCTGTTAATTAACAGTGGCATTTCAAAGATGTCAGTGGCATGTTAATGAATCATATTCTTCACTGTGTTTATGATTTTTGCTGCCAAGAAACCCACACTGCCAGTGATGTATTAGAAAGCAATTCTGTTTTGGATGGAAGAGATTGCAGACAGTGGTCCATTTGGGCTTGCCTGGATTTTGCATGTCACTTCATTTGCCAGTGCTTCACAAATCTTTCGCCTTCTTACGTACAGAGGTGCCACACTATCTATAATGCATGGCTGCTTAAAGTACAGCATACACAGATGTCTTAGAGTATTGGATTCTGATTTTGTTCAGTCTGTCCAGTGCTTGAGGAGTAGTGCCATACCCATGGTCAGGGCTCGACGAACTGCTCTTTCTGCTCGCCCGAGGCGAGTAGATTTCAGCTGGTCGCTCCGTGCGCCCCATTCACTGGCGCTGCGCGCATGCACAGTGCGGGGCTGGCGAGTAGCTCTCGCCGCACTTTGTCAAGCCCTGCTCATTGTGAAGAGGAAAGTTTCGGTAACTTCAGTTTGTATTTTTTGCAGAACTCCAACATGTAAGTTTGCAAGTCATGCACTTTGTGCATGTTTATCAAATCTTCTCCAGTCTCTCTAAACTATTTGTATATGAGAAGTAAACTTACAGGTTAGATCAGAGAGGTCCGCTTAAGACTGTCACCCGGTGGGCTGATCATACCACTGAGCCTGCATACCTGCCCCTTGGGGTATCCCACCAGGCCAGAAGCTCTAGTTTCCCTCAGCAAAGGCAAAGTTGGGTTACCAGCAGAGTAACACGGAAGCTGAAACTGCTCAGTTCTGTGAGGACTCAGTTATAGGAACTTGACAGCCCCCAGGAACAGAGCCCTTAAAAGGGACCAAAACCCCTAGTAAATCCATCTTACTCTATATAAAAGTTATAAACAGAAGAAGCTCATAAGTTTTGCGCTCTATCAGAGGAGAGCAGTTGTGCTGCCTCTGCTAAAAGTTATTTACACTGGGCTTGATAATAAACAAAGGTGTTTTTTATTAAGTATAAAAAGTACAAATCAGTGGTTCTTGAACTTTTTGGCCCCTGGACCACCTGCCTCATTGTAAACCTTTCTGCAGACCACCAGTTGCTAATGGAAGCTCAGTTAATTTCATAATTATGCCTGAGCCGTTTGCTAGTGCTGCAGCTAGGGAGAATGGTTTAATTTAAATTAAGCAGATTAAGCATTTTA